ACAGTTAATTATTTAACAAATTTTACTAATCAATGCTCTTGATAATAAATATAGCAACAATTTGCATTCAATTATTTAACGCCATCTATTAATTATAAATAAAAATAATATTATAAATTAATTTTTATATTATTCATCCCACAATGTCTTTAAAAGATATTTTATGATGTCCTTATCAATATTTTATAGTTTTCTGTAAAATATATAATTCGCTATATTGGTAAAAATTATTTGATTGTCATATGATAATTGATAAAATTAGATATATTGTAAATCTACGACATGTAATATTTTGTATTGTGCTTTAATTTTTTTATTTAATTTATGATTTAATTTTATCAAGTTTTATAATTATATTTTACTTTTATTAAAATAAATAAATTAAAATTACTCACTTTATCGTTGAATTCAAAGGAATTATCCTAACGTCCTAAAAATTTAAATAAAATTATTTTCATGCATGATTACTATAAAATTATAAAATTGATTTTGAATTTATAATTAGTTTTCTTTTCAATAAAAATGTAAAAATATACCGATATTATTTAGTGTATATTTTTTTACATTTAATTTTGCTTTTCTTAAAAAAATTCCTTTATCTTACTATAAGCTCCTTTTAGAGCCATCGATATTTTTAAAATATACATTCACTTTTAATATATATATATTCATTTTTTTATTTTTATATTTTGTTTACATGTTTTAAAGATAAATGAATAATAAAAAATAGTTTATATTTAAAAAATATAAAATATTTACATCAATAATATATTTAGATTAATTAAAACCTTTTTACCAATATTTTATTTCCCTTTCATAATAATTTAGTTTATTTCTTATCACATAAAAGCATCATTTTATTTTTAAAAAGAAAGGGATAAAAATAAAAAATGAATGTCAGCAATGTATCATTCTTCAATCAGACAGAACGTAGCTTTAAATTAAGTGTAGTTGAAGACATTTTATTATGAATTCGCAATACCATTAATCACGCTTCACGGGATGATGGGCACTTCTCATTGGCCTTTCTGATAAGGTTCAAAAGAACTAATTCTTATTTCTTGTTAGTTTTACTGCGGCTAATAAACATCACCCTTTTATGCATTAATCTTAGCGATTTATTTACATCGGGAGCAAGATAATAATCACATATGAAAACACCATTTTCATTTGGTTCACGTTAATAGCCTGCGCTAGCCAAAACTTTAAAAGTATTCCATATATTATTGATAATGGCGTTTAGTGTGGAGAGATACATTATGAAAGGTTATTTCCAGTGGCACAGAATTTATTGCGTGGTGGGAAATATAAAATATGTGGCAACCCTCTTAATAATAATAAACGTTAGTATAATGTTTCCCGTATATACCAATTACATCCGCATCTCCGTCGACTTATTCTCCTTTAAGCATAACATAACGGGCCAACAAAGAGACTATTTTTTTCCGCTTGTTCAAATATACAATCTGCTAAAAATATCATTAAACATCAGAATATCTTAATTCCGTGGAACCAGAATCTATATCTTCTAGTTCTATATTATCTTCATCAAAAAAATTTATTTCTTCAATTTCATTTTCAGCATGAACGTTGCTCAATTTAATAAAATGGGATTACGCAGGTATGCTTGATTCTTTTCTTACCTCGGATCACAAATTAACACTTAAAGATATAAATTTCAAATTTTACATTTATAATACAATTTATAATATAATAAAATACAATTAAAAGTTTTTAGTATTCCTATTTATTTGAAATCGTAATCAAACACTTTTTATTAGCATTTAAAATACAATTCGGCATACTGCCCAACTCTGCCTTTTCCTGTAAATTTTCCTGAGACCAAATTTCAATAAATCTAATCTTAATTACTTAAGCATTAAGGGGCTGTAACGGGGGGTTTTAGCCCATAGTTTTGAAAAAAATATTAGACCGCCAGCATATAGTTCTGAAAGAAGATTATTGTCCATCCGTTTATAGATCAAATTGAAATGTTGCACTCACCTACCAGATGTTTATAAATAATTTGATAGATTAGTTTAGTTCTTTTTTATTTGGTTTATATATTTTTAACATAAATTTATAAAATAAAAATATACAAATTTTTGTAATAAACAATGTTTAATAAATATTCGCCCTGCGTATCTCACCCGTAAAATATTATAAACTAACCTGCCCACCCACTGTTTATTTTTATTAAACCTTTCCGTTGTAGACCCCCGAATAACTGTAAAGTTAAGTTTTCCATAGATTACCAATATGAGTGAACAGAATCCATAAACCTAGCAATTCACAAAATCTTGATATTTTTAAAACGATTCTGAATATCGATAGATAAATTGATTCTCTTTCTTTGCTGTTTGAAAATCAATTTTTTTTAACTAGCATTTAAATAAATAAATTTTATGATTGTTGCAAGTTTTTTATTTAATTTTTTTGTTTAAAGTACTGTTAGTCTAAGCTATATGAAAGACCAGGACACAGCGGATCGGATTCATATTAACTCTTCTAATATTGGGAATAAATAAAATATTGCCAGCCACCTCAAACGGTAATGATTAAATGATTTATTTAACATATATAAAATGTAATTACTTTTTTTTAGAAAATTATTTCTATTTTTCAATTGAAAAAACCCTGGCAGTTAAAGAAGTTTACATATGATCACAAATATGATTATATCAAAAAAAAATTTCAGTTATAAAATATTATTTAAATTTTATTGATAAAAACAAGTCCTGCGAACCCCACTCCGACGTGCCCCTAGTCCTCATTCTTGATAAAAAAAATAAATAGCTAGATGAAATTGTGACATAAAATTTCGACAGGTGATAGAAGAGAGTTTATTTTATGATATATTATATTAATATATGATATTTAATCTTTTAGTTTTATTCCAAACAAAATTAAGTTAACATAAACTCTTAAAATATTCGCGATAAAAAATTTAAGAGCGATTTTAGTGAGTTAATGGAAAATAAAATTTTTGAGGTGAATATCATATTTTTCTATTATAAGGATTAATTCAAACCTTAGATTTAGTAATTTCTAAAATAAATTTGATTGGTCTCATTTGCCCTTTGTTTCGTTAAATATCATATTTTTCTATTATAAGGATTAAATTTCAAACCTTAGATTTAGTAATTTCTAAAATAAATTTAATTGGTCTCATTTGCCCTTTGTTTCGTTATTCCTTGGCTTTTCTTACTAACATTTATGACAATTTCTCTTTATTTATGCATCTACACAAAAACTAATTAGTTTCCAAAACACCAGGGCAATAATAGACGACGTCAGCCAACATATTGTAATTTTCTAAACGCCAAAATTTTATTAAAAGTGCGATAAGGTCCATTTTAATAAAATATTTTAACGGATGAATAATGATTATCAGGGTTTCGTATTTGACCGGTTAATTATAATTCGGTTAATTGACTGATATTTTACCGGTCAAATTCAAATATATGTAACTTAAATTTGCATATTAGTAAAATGAATCTATAATATTAATTTTATAATATTTTTTAAATTCATTGTCATTCAATAACTAATGTTTCACTCTCCGTGACATAGCCTTGTTATGATTCATATTCAATATTATCATTTTCTTTAATATATTTTAATAAACTTTTCTGTTGTTGAGATCTTTAATCAATTTCTTAGTTAAAATATTACCTCAAATCGATAATTTATTTCTGAAGAAGAAGTAGATCCAGGAATTGTTAGTAAAATGTCACTTCTCACAAAGTCCATTCCATTAACTTGAGGCCTGAATCTGATTGTTGCTTATGAAAGTTACTGCTTTCCACATAATTTGCGATTAAACATGTGGCAGTTACTTCTGAAATTTATGATATCACATGAAATATTTTGATCATCACCACTTTGAAAATTGCCTAATTCTTGTAATATATCACTTCATTATATTCGCTACTGAGATGTTCCCCTTAATGTTGGAGACCCAATAAATAAGTAGAACGATAATTTATTATCATGATGGAGAAGAAAATTACCATCTTTATCAAAATATTAAAAACCAATATAGATCGAATTAACTATAGAGATTTTGTTGATAATTATATATAATCTGGCGACACTACCATTCCTACATCAATGAGAAAACAAAAAAAATCGTAAATCAATTTATATAATGTCGAAGTTGAATTAGGTTTTAACTCGATGAATTAAATAGCACAAAAAGTGAGAAATTCACTAACTTTGAAACATATCTCAGATTTAATGGTGATATTTTTAATAGGTAAACGTTTATTGGATTAGGATGCCCCACCTTTTGTAATATCTTGGTTAAATAATCATAAAGCTGCCACAGACACACGCGTTAACTATAAAATATGAATATAATAATCAGCCATATCTTTAGAATTTGTTGGATTTAATATATAATTTTCAATGTAAATATTAAATAAAAATTAATTGAAATTTACAAAAAAAAATTGAGATATAAAATAAAGGGCAAATCTAAGAATAAAAATTTGATTAAAGTGAATTGAAATTTAAAGAATTTTTCTAGAGAGTTCTTTGTTAAATATTTGGCAGCACTGTTATATCTACTTATAAATTAGCTTTAGAAAATACCTGTTCCCGCCTGAATTCCTCTAGCAACTGAACTGCACACACCATTAGAAAATAACGACTTTTTTGTTAATAAGGATAATTTTCGACGTTATCTTATATATTTATAAAAATATATTAAAAAATCAATAACTATTGACGTTATATATCAGTACTCCAAATATAAAAAAAATTATCCAAGCTAATATTTAATTTTAGGGTAATTAATTATATACTAATTTATCTACCAGAGAAAAAATTAAAACGATCTGATAAAATAAATTCCTAAAAACTTATTAAATCTCTAATCTAATAATATATGGCCTTTTGCTTTATTCATATTACGAATCAAAAAATATAAATAAAAAATAAATATTGTATTCTAATGAGTAAAAATATACGATTAATAAAACAATAGAAATTTTTAATTAGATTGATCTAGAAGAATGATGTTTGGCTATTTCATATATATACGAAACTAAACTTTTTATACTCATAATATAACGATTAATATTGATGTGTTCGTTTTCTGAATGGGCTCCATCTGCAGCATATGATAGGGGTATTAGTATTAAACTATTATTTGGATCTTTTAGATATTTCGATAAGTATACCGCAGCTGGAACTGTACCTCCATCTCGGGTTAAATCCGGATACCTACCATATACCCTTTTAATAGCTTCAGATGCCAATTGAAAATTATAATTCTTATAATTTGTAAGCCACGAGTCAACCTCATCCTCAATTACTACATTGAGAGAATTTCCAGTGCTACGTTGCTCGTGTAATCTAGTTATATAATTGATAACATTATTTTTTATCTTTTGAACGTTTTGGTGAGAAGCAACCCTTATCGAAAATTTACCTATAACCTTGTGAGGTATAACTGTTTTGGCACCAACCCCAGAATAAGCTCCTTCTATACCGTGTATACTTAAAGATGGCTCTCTCCATTTATACGACAGTTCCTCTATTTTTGAGAAATGTAATAGGCCTAAAGATCTTACTGCATTTTTGTAATCTTCCAAATTAAAATCAAAATTGGAGTAAGCTTTTATTTCATCAGCGGTTAAGGATTTAATATCATCATATATTCCTGGGATTGTTATCCGGCCGGTTGTAGCATTACTCAACTTGGATAAAATGTCTACTAGCTCAGCCATCGATTCATGGACGGAACCCCCGTATACTCCGGAATGTAGATCTTCTGCTGCGCTTTGAATTTGCAGGTAAAAATAGATTAAGCCCCTGAGTCCATAAGTTAAACATGGATTTTTTATGTTAGGGCAAAAATTATCGGATATCACAGCATAGTCTATCTCTTTGAAAAAACTTGATTCTTGCTTTAATATTCTTTCCATACCAAATGATCCTGATTCCTCTGCTGATTCCAGAAAAAACTTTATTTTCACGGGTATGCAAATGTCAAGATCAATCAATGCTCTAATAGCATTCATCCAAGCCAAAATAGGACCTTTGTTATCGGTTACACCGCGCCCATAAAAATCGTGTTTAACTTTAGTCAATATAAATGGATCCGATTTCCATCCATCGGATTTGCGTGCGGGTACTGTGTCTAAGTGGCCATATATGAGGAGAGTTATGTTATTAGGTTGTGAAGATTTCGAATTAGGTAAGGTGCTGAATAGGAAAGGAGGGCCGAAAGTTTGAAACGATTGATTTTGTCTGTAACGCAATTTGGTTAAATGTTTGTGTGGGTTATTCCTTCTTATATTGTTCTCCTTGATATTGTAATTTATAAATTTAACATCAGATTTAAAGCCCATACTCCTTAAAAATGATTGAGACCATTTGACTACGTGTATAAGTTCTGGTTTATATTCGGGAAATGCAGAAATACTATGAAACCTTATAACTTCTGATAAATCTTTAATATAATTTACTTTATTATTATTGATGTGATTAAAAATATATTGTAAACGTTTTTCATCCATTATCTGGCAATTCTTGTTTGAATTAGACAATTCATATTTTTCAAAATTATTTTCTCCAAAACAAACTATTTTTATAATGACATATTTACAGATATATATCCAAACTAAAGCAGGTAGACAGACGCGGAATAATTTAGCTAACATATTTTCGTTGAATATCTATATAATTAAAATAAATTTATTTAATATTTTATATATATTATTAAAATTATTAATGATAGTGCATATGTAGATCATAATCATCTACAGGTTATCCTGTGGTAAAGAGCCTAAATAATTTTAACATTTCAAATATTAACAGACGGGCTGGAAAATTTAATTAAAATTGATGAATTCACAGAGGACATTAAGATTAACTCTATTTTTAAATAATGTAATAATTAACTTATAATTATATATTGAGATATTTATCAGTGTTAATTTTTTTATATTTCATTCTAAATAATATGTTTTTGATTATTTCATTTATAGTGTATTGTGTAAAAAATATATATATTTCACTTTTTTAGGAATATGTAATTAACTATCTTTATTCTTTTAAATTAAAATATTAGTCAGTTATAAATGAAGAATATTTTCGGTTAAATTTATACCAACAAATTTTATTTATTTATTAATCGTTTTGTTATATTTTTGAAGAGATAAAAATATTTATTAATTTAATAATTATACCTTAGAATTAACATTATAATTAAATGAAAGCTCAACCCTTTTAATTAGGTAGAAAACAATCATATATGATCTCCAATCATGACTTAACAGTGTAATATAATAATGATTGTGTTAAGTTATTTTTTGTAAATTATTTATTATTAAAATATTTTCATTTTTTTTATAAGTGAAAAGAAATGGAGAGAACTATTATATATTTTTTTAAAAATAATAATATTTAATAACAAAGCTCTTGTTATTGATAAATAAAATTCCCTGAAAAGGGAACTTCGGAGATAGGCCATTTGATTCATCAAATACTTTTGTTTCTAAGTACTAAGCCCTTTATCATAGGTGTAATGGAGGAGGGGATTTAAAAGTTTTCGCTAACATAAATCTCTCTGACATAATTACCTTGAACAAAAACTTGAAAAAAAAATTGTATAACAATTTCCCCATATCTGACCTATTTTTAACCCTTGACCACTTAAGAAATGATAATTTTTTTTGTAAAATAAACTTAATATAAAAAATTTTGGGGATTTTTTTTATCAAAGGAAGCAGAATCTGAAACCCTCGAAACTGGGACAAATCCCAAAACCAGGAACCCTCTTTTATGATTTATAGAAGCCAAAACGATCTAACCAGTTTTAAACAAGAGTACAAGTAATCGATATAATATCTTGTCAGTGGTGTAGATAATGTAGGGGGGGGGGAATTAAAACCTCTCGCATGACCCCATCAAAAAATATTTAGAGGCATTGACAAGGGGGTGTTCGAGGGTTGAACCCACCTTTCCTATGAAAACATAAGTTAAAATGTATGTGTTCACAAAACATTTATATATATATTAAATAAAAATTAGCTTTCAAATTAATAACACCCCCCCCCCCCTCCCATTTAATTTTATAAAATAATCTCAGAATTCTATTTCAAAAAAGTGCGTGAAAAAATCTTAAAATACGGATAAACAATACTTGGAAACTTTTCATTTTATAATCATATTTTCACATAAAAAATTTGTTATAAATTATATTAAAAAATGGGATGCTTCTCCGCTATGATTTAATGGGATCGGTATTTGACCTTTTCTGTTTTCAAATGTAAAGGCGTACTTGTATTATTTTACTAAACAATCGTTTAACCTTAGTGCTCATGTGTAAAAAATCATTATAATCATTTTCGCGTAAATAGTAACCAAGCATCTTATTTTGATATCAAATTTTCTAAAGACGCCATAAGTCTATATGTCTACTTTTTTAATGCTAGTCTGACCTTTATTAAATGTTATAAATCTTTAATTAAATTATGAAACAGCTAAACAATACTTGAGCCAATATACAATTATTTTTTTAGCCATGCAGTTTTATCCTGATAAGTTGATTCCGATTATTATAACATTTATGGACCGATAATTCATGCAATAAAATAAATCTTGATGAGCCATTGAACACATAACCTGGTGAAACGCCATTTTATTATCCTATATAATAATATTTTATAAACGGTTAATCTATGACTTTTATTTACGATCTGAATTGTATTAATTTAAAAATCATGAATTAAATCACTCTGGATGCTGGGAGTATTGTATGCCAGGGATTCGCACATAATCGTTCAAAGATTCTCTTAGGCGGTTATAATTTCTTTTGCTATCCTCGAAAAATAATAAAATAGTTGATAAAAATTTTTTAAAAATCATCTTTAAATTTTATTTTTTTAATTGTGAATTAAAAATGAAATATGCCGATTTATGAAAATAGGCCACAATCATTTAGCTCGTTTCAAGCTTTAAAGAAAAATTTATGGAGGCCTTTAAAAAATCAATATAAGGTTCGATCAGTGGAAGACGAGATAAAAGAGGATTATATTTCGTTAATTATATTAATGTATTATGATAATTCTATAATTGAGTTTAAAAAAGGATCTCGAGGTATGCGCGTTTTTATCAGAAATTTATGATTAGGGTAAAATTTGGTAAAAAGGCGACCCTTGGGCTATAATCGGGAGCCCATCTATCTTGCTTGAATAAAAATATTAGAGGGTATAATAATTTTTTTGTAAATTTTAGCATTATATATCCATATATATTTGTTTTTAAATCACTCGATTAAATTTAAAAAAATACTGAGGAAATTAAATAAATATAAAGTTTCATAAAAAAAACGAGTGACGTGTGTTTAGAGTTATATATTTCAAAATTCGACGTTTTTTGGCCCTCTTGTAAATTAACCTTATTGGGAATCTGTGTTTTCTCCTTACCTCTTTAACCTAAAAGGCATTGTATAATTAGTGCTTGAAAGTAAAAAAAATTCCCTGCTAACTAAATTCTAGTCAGAAATTAAAGCTGAAGCAAACACTCCTATTTAATAACTATAAAATATTTCGACCCAAAATAATTTTAAGAAAAACATAATTGAGTGCTTAAAAAGGAATGATAGTTAAATAAGAATTCCATAGGTTCCAAAGTTTGTAATTTAATTTTGGGAGCTAAATTTTTAAAAAAACTTAAAGATGATGGCAGCAAACTATAAGTTAGTAGAAGTTGCAATTAGCGAGAATATGAAATTGCTGAGGCCTTTGTAATTGTTTATTTTTTTAGTCTCAGGTAGAATAAGTAGTTTACTTTGTATATTGGTGGGGAAGGATAAGATACATTATTAATCCCAAATAAAGCCTTTGCCCATAGCCCATGAGATCAGGGTTGCCATGTCTCCCTCCATCAGCCGGAGACTCCCGCAATTTTTTAGTTTACACGCAGACAGCTCTCTCCCGCAAAACTACCGCAATTAGAAATCTCCTGCAAAAATCTTCCGCAATTTTTTAATTTCTCCCGCATTTTTTTTTTAGTATTTTAACGTTTTTAATATATAAATAATAATTTTGAGAGACATTAATTGATTATTTTTATATTTTTAAAATAAATTTTAAATATTTATTCGAAAAACATGTCTAGTTTGTAAATTACTTTCTATCCTGTTTTATTTTTATCCAATAATAAATCTTGCATTCATATAAGAGTACACGGGAGTATATCTACATCGATTGCAATACAAAAATATTCTCAATAATAATAAATAATACAGATGTAACTACATTTGCGGAAATCGTATACATCTATCATGTAGTCTAACATTCACAGAGCTATATCATCACAATGTGGGTCGGTCGAATCTTTTTCATGATATTTAACGACTCCAATATAAGTGCAAACCTTACTTATGGCAAAACAAAAATGAGCAAGGCTATAACAAGTGTTTTAGTACCTGAATCCTAGAGGTCAATTCTAGATGATTTTAAAAGATGGGCATCCACATGCAATTCTAACAGATGCATTTAATAAGGGAAATATTAAAACATTTCCCTCGATCCTTCGCTATTTCAACAAGAATAAGAACATTTCAATAAAACTGTTAAAATTTTTTCCTTGGAAATTAAAAAATCCAACAATGTAGCTAGCCACATTAAATATAGCTGATTCAGGGTTACAAATGATTTGCATGTCAGCTTTCTGCGCTGATAATGCCTCTGTAAATTTTGGCAAAAACCAAAGTTACCGAATTGAGGCAGCACAATAATAAATTAATACCAATTGGCTGTATATGCCATATACTACATAATTCTTGCAAGAAGGCAATGAATATACTATCTGAGGATGTCGAAAAATTGAGATGAAATGTTTTAACGAATTAAATTTATCAACTAAAAGAGTTAATGAATTAAAAACTTGGAACGGTATGAGTTGTTGCGAAATATACCTATCAGGTGGTTGTCATTAATACCTGCCATCGATAGAATTTTAAAATTTTACAAACCTTAAAAAAATACTTCTTAAATAGAGATTTAAAAAGCTGTCCTAAAATTTTGAAAAATTTTTTTGATTATGAAATGGCAGAAACATATTTGGGGTTCGTTTCACATGTAGGAAATCTACTTATTGCAATTAATATTCCTTTGCAATCAGAATACTCCTTTTAAAAAAGATTCACAAAATATGCCATAGCTCTGTTCATCTCTACAGTTAAAAATTGATAATAAATTTTATGGCGCTATTGCTAATATTATATTAAAATGTTCAAATAATACTCTTAATACATTTTTAAATGAAGCAGATATTTTTATTAAAACAATTTTAGAATATTTACAATCAAAATTTGATTTTAATAACTCTATTTACAAATGTATAAATATTATGACCTTGGAACAGAAACCATCAATTGATGGTTTTATAATTTAATAAATATATTAAAAATACCGAAAGACATTGATATCTTGTTTGTAGAGATTGTAATTCTATTTTTCGCCAAAATACTTAAAATTAGATGGTCTAAAAGCAGAGGAGAAATGGG